TTTGTGATTTCGCAGGAATTTAAGTAAATTACGGTTTAGAGGAAATTTGTGTATATTTTTATTTTCTATTTGTCCTTACCAAAAGGTAGTCTTTTGAACTCTAGCCAGCCATGCTAAATTTCGCGTCGATTGGTCTATAATTGCGACTTATAGAGCAACTGTAATCCTTTTCTGTTTTTGGTCCATTGCAAATCCTGAATGTTTTGCGATCATCTCCAAAACCAAAAATCCTTAATAGGGTCAGGATCGGACATTAATTGCGGCCTGTAGCGTGATTACAATTAATATGGGCAGACGGGCATAAATAGCTAGATCGACTCAGCTCGGCGAAATATGAAAATCCATATGTAGTATCCTATGTGCAGGTACCATATATATACAGACGTATTTTCTCTGATTTTGATATTTATCTTATCTGATATTTTCTTCTACAGATCTTCTTTGGATGGAACAACTATAGAAAGTAAAAGTAGTAAAGGTCTTGAAGGTTCATAAACATATTCTCTTAAGATGTTACCAAACTGATGACAAAGTGAGAATTTTTCCCCTTAATAGAAGTGACGTAGCGTTCCGATTTTTTTTTATTTTATTAATTTTTGTTTTCATTTGACTTCTACGGCAAGTTTAATACCAGCTATTTTTGTAGGCAATATTTTCGCACAACAAACAAACAACAACAGTAACCCAATTTCACTTTTATTGAGTAGATTTGAGAGACATTTACAGAGAGTGAGAGATGGAGAAAACAACAATGCCAAAACAGGGCTACCAACATTATTTCAAGAGAAATCGTAGTTTCTTAAAAAAAGTGGGAATAATCGGCATTTGTATTTATAACCAGTAAAGAAAGTCTTAAAGTCGGGCGGGGCCGACTTTATGATACCCTACACCACTTTGCTAATTAAGTAGAGCTCCACATAACAATTAAAAGTTTTTATGGGAGAATTCAATCATACACGCTATGATTATAATTATAATTATAATTTAAAGTTCAAAGGACTAAACATGCCGAAGAATTTGTATCTTTTAAATTCGGACTTGTATTGACCATTTGGTGCACAATTAATTTGAAATCGGATAAATATATATATGGGAGCTATATCCAAATCTGAACCAATCTCGATAAAATTTGGCAAAGATATTTCTGAGCTGTATTTGATATATTTCCCTGAATATGGTTGTTACGGAGTGTATATTACGGTTGTGGGTAACAAATATAACAAATCGGATGAATAATATATATGGAAGCTATAGCTATATCTGAACCGATCTTCACCAAATTTGACATACTAGCTTCTAGTCTCAATTCGGTCGTATGTGCCAAATTCCATCCCATTTGGACAAAAATTAGACGTTTGGTGCACAATAAAAGGTAAATCGGACGAAGTTATATATGGGAGCTATATCCAAATCTGAACCGATCTCGATAAAATTTTGCAAATGTATTTCTGAGCTATATTTGATATATTTCCCCAAATATTGTTGTTGCAGAGTGCATATTACGGCGGCGGTGGACAAAAATAACAAATCGGATGAACAATATATATGGGAGCTATAGCTATATCTGAATCGATTTCGATCAAATTTGGCATACATATTTTCAGGGCTAATTTGGTTGCATGTGCAAAATTCCATACTATTCGGGCTTATATTACACGTTTGGTGCACAATAAAAGGCAAATCGGACGAATATATATATGGGAGCTATATCTAAATTTTGACCGATTATCTCCAATTTCAATAGGGTTCGTCCTTGGGCCAAACAAATGATCTGTGCAAAATTTCATCTGGATCGGGCAATAAATGCGACCTGTACTTTGTTTACAAAAATACATGGACAGACGGACGGACGGACGGACGGACGGACGGACGGACAGACGGACAGACGGACGAACGGACATGCATAAATCGACTCAGAATGTGATTCTATGCAGATCATCAAAAGGAACTATGGGTCTATCTCGTTTCCTTTTGTCTGTTACAAACAAATACACAAAGACATAATACCCTGACCACCTTGTGGTGTAGGGTATAAAAATCGGCAACGTTATAAAATATAATAATTAAAATAAACCATATTTTTGGTTTATAACAATTCAAAGATGTTTATTTATGCATTTTAATAAATACGTAAAGGAAAGGTCAAAAGTCAGGCGGGACCGACTATATGATACCCTACACCACTATGCGTATTTAGTAGAGCTCACGAAACAAAAGAAAGTTCATATCGGGAATTTATGTGAAGTAGATCATGCCAACTATGAACCTTATCATGGCTTAGAAAAGTCACAATTTGGGAACTATAATCAATTCTGAATCGATTTTTAACAAATTTGACGGAGGCTTTTTTAACTTCAACATCACACAACATTGCGTTATATTGCATATAGATATACCGAACCGAGTTTTACCAAATGGAAAAATTCGGTTGAATACGAGAAGATCTATGCAAATTGTGCTTAATTACATACATGGTGAGCAATAACCTGAAAATCGGATGAAACTGTATATTGGAGGTACATAAAAATCTGAACCAATCTCGATAAAATTTGGCAGCGGTATTTTCGAGCAGTATCTGATGTCCGTGACCACACACTATGTCCGGGACTTTAACACCAAATCGCATGAAACATATAGATGGGAGCTATAGCTAATCTGATCTGATTTTCACCCGTGTATATTGTGCATGTGAGAAACTTATAATCCAAAATATGGGAGTTATAGCTATATCTGAAGCGATTTACACCAAATTTGAAGTATTAGTATGAATTCAGTCGTAATTGCCGAAATTCAGTCCATTTAGGCTGACAATAAACTAATATCATATAAAGATATATATGGGAGCTATACCCAAATCTGATTCGATCTCCATAGAATCTGACAAAGGTATTTTTGAGCTCCAAAAGTTATCTGGTGTTAAATTTTTCCAGTGACAGCTCATTATATTGTTTACAAGCGTACAAAAGCTTTTTGGTGAGAATTTTCTAGAAAAAAAAGTTATTCGTGATGGAGTTCAAGCGTGATAGTGTGATTTCTCTTACCGTGATACTGGCCCGACGTCAAGGAAGTGGACGGAAGAAAACAGCAACATTATTAGAAATCGTTCGAAAAGTAAAGAAGCAACTTGATCGAATCCCGCGTCGCAGTGGCCGAAAAATGGCTCGTGAGATCAACATATCGCAATATTCCATTCGGCAAATATTGAAAAATGAGCTCGGGGTAAAGCCATAGAAATTCCAAAAAGTGCCAGAACTTACACCGCAACAGGAAGAAAATAGACTTAAAAGTGCTAAAGAGTTGCTTCGCTTGACCGTAAGTGGTGAACTGGCGAATTTGGTTTCCTCCGATGAGAAAATATTCGTTGTCCAGCAATTTGTAAACAAACAAAATGATCGTGTTTTTTTGCCAAAGAGGTCAGCTGAAAATGTGCACCTTCTCTTGGCCACCAGAACTCAAGCGCAGGCTGTGGTGATGACAGCTCATCATATAGATGATGGTCGCTCATCTCTCGTATTAATCGACCGTGACATCAGAATTAAAGCCGAATATTATCGAGAATATATTCTGGAGGGGGTATTAAAGCCTTAGGCAAGCAAACATTTTAGTCGCAGACTTTGAACATTCCAACAGGACTCAGGACCATCGCATTCTGCATGCGCCGCCCATGAATGCGCTTCATTTCCATAGCACAATGGTCACCAAAATCTGTGAAAACCAATCCGTTAGACTATTGTGTCTGGAGTATTTTGGAAAACAAGGTTGGCACTAAAAAATGTCAATGTTTCGATCACCTCAAGCAAGCTCTTCGCCGGGAATGGCCCAAAATACCGCAGAACGACGCCGTTTGAAGGCCATATTTCGTGCCAAAGGTGACCAATTCGAACAAAACTAAAATTTGATGCCACTTGGTTTTAGGATGAAGTACTTGTTTTTAGAATGAATTTATTAGGAATTGTCAGAATTCAGTTCAATTGGACTGATATTAGACATTTGGTGCACAATAAATCTTATATCGAATAATGATATGTACGATGGCAGTTCGGAAACTTCTTAGCCCAGCACAAAAGGCGCAGGTATAAACAAAAAAAAAAAATTTATGTGTTTTGGAAACTTCCATCTCTGTTATGAACACATGTCTCGATCTGGCAACTGCTTCATATAGAAACAGGTTTTCAAAAAACGCATCCGCAGTTTTTTTACAATGTAAAAATTAGAAATGCGTGCTGTCATTAAATATTTGCATAAGTAAGGTTTATCGGGACAAAAAAATTCATAATAATATGGTGGTAAAAAATTGGATTGCTGAGTATAAACGTGGTCATGCAACCACTACGTGACGTCCAAAAACAGAAATAACAACAGAAATTGTATCCAAAGTGCATGGTATGATATTAAATGATCGACGAATAAAATTGCGTGAAATTGCCAATATCATGAGCATCTCAAATGATCGAGTCCATTTAATATTGCATGAAGAACTACAGATGGAAAAGCTTTCTGCCACATTTGTTAGCAGTTGATCAAAAAACGCATAAGAATGAAAATTTGATGTACTTGCTACCAGATTGAATTCGGTCGGATGTGCCAAAATTTGGACTGATATTGACGATTTGGTGCAGAATTAACCAAGAAACATTTGAACCGATTCTCGCGAATTTCAATAGGGGCCATAAAAATATTGTTTAGAACATTTCATCTTAATCTGAAAATAAATGCGACCTGCAGTTTGTTCACAAAAATACATGGACAGACAGACTGAGATGCATAAATGTGAAGTGATTTAATGAAGATCCTCTAAAGTAACTATCTCTATCTCGCTTCCTTCTCCCTGTTACAAACAAATGCACAAATACATAATAATCTTACCACAATGTGGTGTAGGGTGTAAAAATCTTCAAAATGTGGCTATATCGGCAAAAATGGCAGCCCTGTGCCAAAAATCATTTGACAAAACCAACAAATACAATCAAATGCACATTCAGTCAATGCAACCGGTAAACGCATAAAAGCAAAACAAAATAATATTCGGATTGTTTTTATTTGAGCATTTTGCACTGAAGTTTTGCTTTCAGCAGCATCGGTGCAACATTTCGGGTGCAACAGCATTCAGTTGTAAATTCAAGTACAGCATCACAAGTTGTGCATCAATAATTCGATTCATTTTAAATTCAAAATCCTTCAATAAATATACTTTTTTTTCGAAATGGCAACCTGTTGCACCATTCGAAAACTTAATTATTTATCAGCCATTTTCTTTCTGGTTGTTGGTGTAATTGGAATTTCAATTTGCTTCATATTTTTCGCCCTTTCCAAAGATGAGAAATTTTGGGAAGAATTTGGTAAATGAATCAGTGAATATTTTTCTGAAACCTTGAAATGATAATAAAAAACGAAAAATATAGCATTGAAAGAAAAAAACGAGAGCGATTTAAACGGAATGATATCATTCCGTATTGAAAAAAAGCAAAATTTAACAAAATTGTAAAATAGAACAGCATATTTTAAGTGAAGGTTAAAAAGCATTTCAAAACCAGATGGCTATCAGTCACTTCAATTGTGAAAAATGAAATATTGTAAAGTGCCGCATTGTTCGTATTTGGATACAACTATTGTTAATTGGGCGCCGTTGTATTGTCGTGTATTAATATTGGAATACATATATATTCAGCATATTGATATGATCCAAATATGGGATTTGATCTGACCTTCGCATGGCGTAAAATATTGATGAATTTGGTACCTGCATCATAAAATTCCAAAATTTCTCTGCCAATATTAGATCTAATGTACATCCTTTTAGTAACTCGCTCACAAATTATGAACATTTTAAAAAATAAATGACTGCATATAAATTAAGAAATTGAGTACAATAATCTTATTCATATTTTTCGCCCTAGTATGGAGGCTATATTAGGTTTTTCGTTCCTTTTGTAAAACCTCGAAATATTCATTTAAGACACCACAAATGTATATATTCTTGGTCAGCACAAAATTCTATGTCGATTTAGCCATGTCCGTCCGCCTGTGGAAATCACTTTAGCTTTCAGACGAAATTAAGTAGGTTGCTAATATGCAGGACTTTTACTTTATAACTGTACCTGGTGTTTTAGTCGCACTTTTAACCCGAAGTTGCGGTAAATTGGCAGCATGCGTTCCCATTGTGTAAGAAACGTACTTGCGTAGAACTGTTAATATAGGTCTAAGTTTTGAGATAGTCGTCATATAAATGTACCTCCAGATGTTCGATATTTTAATCATTTGTTTTACACTGTTCACAGGAAATATTTCAAATTTGGAATGTGAAATTCTTTATGGGTACTACATTCTATAACAGAAAATTTGCTATGCAGGTCTAGGCCTTCGTATAGCCCCATCTAACCGTACCTCCCAATATTCGATATTTTGATGATTTAAGCGACATTATTCACCGCAATTGTTTAAAATTTCGTATTTAAATAACGAAGTTTCGTAATGAATATATTGCCTATGGCAAAAATTGCTTATGCAGGTCCACGTCTTCGAATAGGCCCCCATATACAGAGTGAGATAAAAAAACTGCAACAAAGTCAAACGCCATAATTTTTTTTTTAATTTTATTTATTGAAAGCAAACAAGTAAGGATCGGCCGAACTTTGAATAACCTCCACCATTTGGTACACATTTTGTAATATTAAAAAATAAAATCCGTTAAAACTTCTGTTAAAATCTTAAAAATACTGAATATAGCCGTATATTAGGGTCTATAAGAGGACGTGGACCTGCACAGGCAACATTTGTCATAAGCTATTACAATATTCAAATGAGCAAGTAGAAAAAAAAATCTGTTTATAATGTAGCTAAAATCATCAAAATACCGAATATAGGGAGTTATAAAACGTGGACCTGCACAGACAATTTTCTGTAGGCTGTAGCATCCATTACGAACTTCAAATACCACAACTTGAAACAATTCCCTTAAATAATGGCGCTAAAATCATCATAATACCAAATATCGGGAAGTACCGTTATATGAGGCTATACGAAGACGTAGACCTACATGGTCCATTTTCTGCCTTAGGCTGTAGTATCCATTACGAACTTCAAATACCAAATTTGAAACAATCCGAGTAAATAAAGTCGCCAAAATCATCAAAATACCGAATGTCGGGAGGTACCGTTTTATGGGGCTATACGAAGACGTGGACCTACATGGCCCATTTTCAATACCAAAAGTCCTGCAGATACAATACTCATTTGAATAAATTTTTATCAACTTACTTCATTTCGTTCGAAAGCTAGAGTGATTTTCACAAACGGACAGACGGACGGGTATCGCTAAATCGGCACAGAATTTGATGCTGATCAAGAATATATATACTTTGTGGGATCTAAAATGTATATTTCAAGGAGTTACAAACGGAATGACTAACTTAATATACCCTCCATACTATGGTGGAGGGTATATAAATGTTGGAAATACCATCGAATTTTAGAATATGTTTAGATTTAAATTGGTCACCTTTGGCACGAATTATGACCTTAAAATGCCAATGAAACCGTCACACGCTGCCCGAATGTTGCTCTGTGGTATTTTTGCCCATTCCCGGCGAAGCGCTTTCGTATGCATGCCCACGTCTTCGTATAGTCCCCTATAAAGGTTTCCATTTCAGTGGTAGTTTTGTTTTTTTTTTTTCTTTTTTTGTTGTGCAATTTTTCAAGTTCCTTCCAAATAGTGGAGGAAAATTCGGCACGGCCGAACATGGCTTCATTTTGACTTGTTCTACTTTTTTTTGAAATTCTGCAAATTCCTTCCTAATGGTGGTGGCTTTAAAAATTTAATCTGGAGTCTTTAAAAATTTAACCGTACTTACTGCTTTTTTACTTGTTTTTAATTTATTTTCTTCTTCAGGTGAAAGTAAGACATGGTCATATACGTTTATATCCATATTCCTGATATATACCCTTATATTAGTTGGCACATCAATTTTTTTAATTATTGGACTTAGAAAGGTCTGTAGCGAAACCAATTAATTTTAAAAATGTAAAAAAAAACAAAATTTTCAGAACCGTTACGATTTTATGAAACCGTTCATCTATACCGTCTATTCGGGTATTGTATTTACATTGTCTGTGGCAATACGGGTTTTCTTTAAGGGTTTGAGGAAGAAGCAACCTGTTGGCCAACTTGCGCTGGAATTGTTTATCGATATAGCTGTGTGCGGTGAGTAGCAAACACCCATCATACGGTGATCTATAATATTTTTTTCCATTGCCTCTTAGCTTTCCAAGGTCTTTTACTATATCCTGTGTACAAGTACTATAAGGATCTAAAAGCCAATCGGTTTTTGCCAGAGCAGCATACCCTGAATGGCAATCAACCGCTCAATAAGCCCAACTATCATCCAATTCAGGGTCAGGCTTAACATGAAAGATGGTTGTTGCAGCATTAATTGGAAACTTCAACTCTAAATTTTAAGTCACTGATTTATGAAGATATACTAACTATTATATTAAAGCACCGCATTTTTTAATTTGAATTTAAAAAATACATTTAATAAAACAAAAAAAAAAAAAAACATTTTTTAATTGATGAAGTCTTGAATCGATTTTTAATTTAACTTCATCCAATGTATATCATTACATTGACAGATTTTCACGATATAGTGGGAGCATTCAGCAATGAGAAGCTGGAGTCTTTGTTATTTGCGCTAATTTGATTGAATGGATGGATTAGTTATCACTTCAAGTTTGGCAGAGAGTTCCATTGGGAAAACTGCCAATAGGGGTACATCGTGAAGGAGGAGTTCTCTCAATCCTGTTCAGACTTCTGCTAGCGAGTTTCAAACAACTTCAAGTAATGGCAGCTGTATATGCCAATTACGTAGTGTATATGCCAATTTTCGTAGTTTGGACTGATGAAGTAGCTCGAGGCCGATTGATCCAACGATTGATGAGACTGCCAAACCATCGAAAGTTTTAATTTCAGCTGTTTCAAAAAGAATTTGGAAACCGATTGCGTCGAATCTAAGGTCATCGGGCCGGTAATATCTAAGAGAAGAAAAAACTCTCTTCCATCACTAAGCAGGTCTGATCTGAAGAATAGCGGTAGGTATACAATCCGGCCACAGCAGTATTAGATATCTGACCTCAAAATGAGATATCTGTGCTTCTGTCCATTGTACAGAAAGTAAAAATAAAGAAGTGTTAAGGCTGGGTTTTCGGAAATTCGTAAAAAACAGTACAAAAATAACTAAATTGTACAAAAAATTAAATACTTTGTATTGGACAAACGAAACGTGCTAGAATTTGGAATGAGAGTCCCTGATGAAGTGCAGGATAGGTGTACCAAGGGTTTGTTGGAAAACAGAACTTTACGGTTGCAAAAAGTTCTAAAATAGTGCTTAACTTCTAAAACGGTGCCATTTGTTGCACGGGTGGAGCTAAAAACAAGTAAAAGAACATTAAGTTCGGCCGGGCCAAACTTTTAATACCCTCCACCTTAGGGTAAAGGAAACATTAGAAGAAATGTGGCAAAAACCATCAAAATACCGAATAGCGGAGGGTACCGTTATATGGGGGATATACCAAATCATGGACCTACACATGCAAGGTTTCGCCAACGAAGGTAGAACCCATTATGACCTACAAATACCAATTTTCAGACAAATACGTGAAAAAAATGTGGCAAAAATCATCAAATTACCGAATATCGGGAGGTACCGTTATATGAGGGCTATACCAAACCGTGGACCTATAATTACAATGACTCGCCATACGAACTGGGACCCATTATGATCTACAACTACCAAATTTTCAGAGATATTCGTAAAAAATGTGTCAAAAATCATCAAAATATCGAATATTGGGAGGTACCGTTATATGGGGACTATACCAAAACGTGGACCTATACATACAATGTTTCGCCACACGAATAGGACCCATTATGACTCACAAATCCGTAAAAAATGTGGCAAAAATAATTAAAATACCGAATATCGGGAGGTACCTTTATATGGGAGATATACCAAAACGTGGACCTATACATGCAATGTTTTGCCACACGTACAGGGACCCGTTATGACCTACAAATACCAATTTTCAGACAAATCCGTGAAAAAATGTGGCATAAATCATCAAAATGCCGAATATCGGGAGGTACCGTTATATGGGGACTATACCAGAACGTGGACCGATATATCTCATTTTCAATACCAACCATCCTAGACACAATACCAATTGCTCTGCTAAGTTTTGGCGCTCTACGTCAAATAATGTGTATCGTGATTTCAACAGACAGACAGACGGACAGACAGACAGACAGACAGACAGACGGACATCGTTAAATCGACTTAGAATTTTATGCTGATTATGAATATATCTACTTTATGGGGTCTACGACGAATATTTAAGGATGTTACAAACGGAATGACAAAGTTAATATACCCTCCTTTCCAAGGTGGAGGGTATAACTAGAAATTTGGTATGGGAATCAAGGTTGGAAAGTAAGTTTAAGATATAAAGGTGGCTTTGGTAAAGTATACTAAGTTTGCGAACTGTACTAAATGGTACCAAATTTGGAACAGTTTGGCTCAGGATGAACGGATGAGGCTGAAATTTTGCGTTGGCGTCCCTGCTGCTGGTAGGTTTGTGACAAAAAAAGTGGTTTTGGAAATGGTACAATTTGGTATTGGGTGAGCGAATAGTGCTGGAAATCTGAAATTTGATATTAGGGTCGCTGACACATGGGGAAGTTTCGGAAGTGCACACTTCCGAAAAGTACTAAATGGTACTATACTTGGTATTTGGTGAAAAAATAGAGATGAAATCCTGAAGTTTGGTATAGATGTCACTGTTTGCGCCTGTGGTTAATATATGGAGGTGGTTTGGGTTATGCGTACAATAATTGTACTAGATGCTACTAAATTTGGCAATGGGGAAGAGGTGAAATCCAGAAATTTGACATTAAGGTCACTGTTGGTATATGGAATTGAGATTTGGAAATATGTCCTTTATTTGTTCGAACTGTACTAAGAGGTATTAAATTGGACATTGTGTGATGGGATAGAACTGGAATCTCGAAGTTTGATACTGAAGTTACGGTTGGTATCTGGACTTGAGATTGCGGTGGTTTTGCAAATGCGCATTATAACTGTTCGAAAAGGGCCAAATGGTACTAATTTTGGATCGCTGTTGGTGCCTAGGATGGACATGATTTGGATATGCTTACTAAATGTTACTAAATTTGGTATTGGGTAAAGAGAGAACACTTAAATTCTGATATTTGATGTTGAGGTATGGTTTTCATATGGAGACGTTTAAAAAGTATTTGGCATTGAATCGGATATATGTCTCACTAATACCCTTCTCGGTACACTTCAAAATTAAATATTTTGATGACTTCTTGGTGTCGGACGAGTGGCTTAGAAATGACAGCAGTCTGAACTTGGTTGCAATTTTTTTTACCTTAAACAGGGTGAGATGGAAAACTGCAACCAAGTTCAGACTGCTGTCATTTCTAAGCCACTCGTCCGACAGCTGTTAAAATTATTCCAGTGACAGCTCATTATATTGTTTACATGCGTACTGTGATACTGTGATTTTTTATATATCGTTAGAGCACTCCAGCATTTAAATGTGATTAAATCTATTGTGTCTCGTACCATCGTTCATTACCGGTTACCATGATACTGGTAGCGTAGCCCGACGTCAAGGAAGTGGACGGAAGAAAACAGCAACATCAGCAGAAATGGTTCGAAAGGTAAAGAAGCGACATGATCGAAACCCGCGTCGCAGTGGCCGAAAAATGGCTCGTGAACTGAACATATAGCAATATTCCATTCGGCAAATATTAAAAAATAAGCTCGGGGTAAGCCATTGAAATTCCAATAATTGCAAAAGCTTACACAGCAACAGAAAGATAATAGACCCAAAAGTGCTAAAGAGTTGCTTCGCTTGGCCGAACGTGGTGAACTGCCGAATTTGGTTTTCTCCGATGAAAAACATTCGTTATCCAGCAGTTTGTAAACAAACAAAATGGTCATGTTTACTTGCCAAAGAGGTCAGCTGAAAATGTGCACCTTCTGTTGGCCACCAGAACTCAAACGCCCGCCATGGTAATTGTGTGGGCCGCCATAACAGCCGATGGTCGTTCTCATCTCGTATTAATCGAACGTGGCATCAGAATAAATGCCGAATATTATTGCGAACATATTCTGGAGGGTGTATTAAAGCCTTGGGTATGCAAATATTTTGACCGCAGATCTTGGACATTCCAATAGTACTCAGCACCATCGCACTCAGCACGCGACACCCAAGGATGGTTACAAAATTAGGTTCCTTGCTTCATTTCCAGCGCACAATGACCACCAAAATCTAAGGGTATCAATCCGTTGGACTATTGTGTCTGGAGTATTCCGGAAAGAAAAATTTTGGCACTAAAAAATACCAAAGTATCGACTGCCTCAAGCAATCGCTTCGCCGGGAATGGGCCAAAATACCGCGGAGCAACATTCGGGCAAGGCCTTAATTTGTCTCAAAGGTGACCAATTCGAACAAATCTAAACTTATTCTAAAAGATGATGCTATTTCCGACATTATTGGGCGCTTGACTTTGTTGCAGTCTTTTATACCCTACACCACAAGGTGGTCAGGGTATTATGTCTTTGTGCATTTGTTTGTAACAGGCAAAAGGAAACAAGATAGACCCATAGTTACTTTTGATGATCTGCATAGAATCACTTTCAGAGTTGATTTATGCATGTCAGTCCGTCTGTCCGTCCGTCCGTCCATGTATTCTTGTGAACAAAATGCAGGTCGCATTTATTATCCGATTGGGATGAAATTCTGCAAACAACATTTGTTTGGCCCAAGGACAAACCCTATTGAAATTGGAGATAATCGGTCAAAATTTAGATATAGCTCCCATATATATCTTCGTCCGATTTGCATTTTATTGTGCACCAAACGTGTATTGTCTGCCCGAATAGTATGGAATTTTGCACATACAACCGAATTAGGCCTGAAAATAAGTATGCCAAATTTTATCGAAATCGGCTCAGATATAGCTATAGCTCCCATATATATTGTTCATCCGATTTGTTATTTTTGTCCTCCGCAGCCGTAATATGCACTCTGTAACAACAATATTTGGGGAAATATATCAAATGCAGCTCAGAAATACCTTTGCTAAATTTTATCGAGATCGGTTCAGATTTTGATATAGCTCCCATATATAACTTCGTCCGTTTTACCATTTATTGTGCACCAAACGTCTAATATTTGTCCAAATGGGATGGAATTTGGCACATACGACCGAATTTAGTCTAGAAGATAGTATGTCAAATTTGGTGAAGATCGGTTCAGATATAGTTATAGCTCCCATATATATTGTTCATCCGATTTATTGTATTTGTTACCCACAGCCGTAATATGCACTCCGTAACAACGATATTCAGGGAAATATATCAAATACAGTTCAGAAATATCTTTGCCAAATTTTATCGAGATCGGTTGAAATTTAGATATAGTTCCCATATATATTTTTATCCTATTTCAAATTAATTTC